GTAGTGTGGGTGCTCCCTTGTTTGACTTGGCTTTTGCCAAAGTTGTGTGTGTGTTCCTCTTCATCTGAATTGCATGGTGTGTTAGTTTAAAGTGCCATCAAGTCTTGAACCACAGGCCTGTGCTCCTGGAAGGTACATACATAAGCGCCACTTTTCAGATGAAGAACCCAAACCTGCTGACAGTCATGCTGCGAATCAGCCATAAACCCAGGAGGAACCCAAGTGTTCTTAAGCACCAGTCCATTGCTCTTTCATCGGCCTAATCGCTGCTCCCTTTCATGAAATGATGTAGGGATCATTAGAATCATGGTTGGAAACATCCACATAAGCTTAGCAACGCTAGGGCAAACTACTATGGGGGGGGGGGCAAAGTAGGTTTACGTATGGAAACAATACAATAACTAATGATTCATACACACAACTGTGAACCTACTTTTGTTCCACTCTCTATATTCCTGAAAGTAAATCTTAAACAGGAGAATAAATGGCTCTGTGACTCTTCTGACTGCAGTTGAGAAAGTTAAAAATCCAAATACCGTCTTCCCATGGCCAACCCGATTACCCACAGGGTTTTATAAAATCTGTCACTAAAAATGTTTTAATGTATATTTCAGTGTTGAGTGTGACACCTTTTTGTTATCTACGTCATTGCTTTTTTCTGAAAGATCTGAATCAAAGGTAAACTTTGTGTCTGCCAGTTCTTTCCCGTGCTTTGTTCTAAGATCTTTTAAGGTTAGCTTTAATAAATAGTAGTGATGAGATCAATGTAAACATGTGTTTAGAAGTCTTTCAATAAGCCGCTAAGATTTGCCACGTAAATGCCTAAGTGTCTCACAGCAGAAGTGCAGACAGGAGCTTGCGCTTCTCCTGATGGGAGCCGTCCCCACGTTCATCTGGGGAGAGTTGGGCGGCCTGTGGTGCAGGGGGCTCCCTCCCGCGGCAGCGTGTGCCTCAGAGCGTGGGGGAGGGCCGTGCATAGTAACTGGGCAGTTCATTTCCTCGTGAATGGGGGAATTGAATTCCGTTTTTCAGGTTTGCTAATGTTTCAAAGATAAACCAGGAGTCTTCAGCCAGGAATCATGAAAACTCATTGTTTTTTGTTTTTTATTGATTTGGGAGAGGAAGGGAGTGGGGGAGAGAGATAGAAACATCAATGATGAGAGAGAATCATTGATCGGCTGCCTCCTGCACGCCCCACACTGGGGATCAAGCCCACAACCGAGCATGTGCCCTGACCGGGAAATCAAACTGTGACCTCCTGGTTCATAGGTCGACGCTCAACCACTGAGCCACGCCGACTGGGCCAAAACTCGTTATTAGACAGATTTTTCAGTAAAGTACACTTTTGACTTTTGATCACATTGTGTTGAGTGAACTGACCCCATCATTAGTGTGGCAGGCTCGATCGCAGAGGCTGTATTTACATCGGAGTGTTAATCACTCTCCTCTCCTCTTGCCAGTAAAATCAAAGTATTACTTGTGACTGTCTTTCATTATTAGAGTTTCAGGCCTTTGGCGGCAACTGTCCTGTACAAGTAATAGCTAAATGAGATGTTTGTGAAAGCATTAGTAAACTGAAACATATTCAGGTGGTATTGTTATCATTTACTAAAGCTAATTCAGCATTCTGTTTGTTTTGTGTGATAAATACTAAAAATCATGAGTTTTCTCTTTTCAGAATTTGCTTATGGTGGCCATCCTTACCCCTTTTCTGGAATATTTGAAATTTCCCCAGGAAAAGCTTCTGAACTAGGAGAGACATTTAAATTTAAGTAAGTAGGGAGGATTTTTTTTACACTGTTTTAGTGCCAACGCTTGTTTTCAGGCATACAGAATTCCTCCTGCAGGCTGACGTGTAGGAAGGTAAAATGTGTAACGTTGCTTTAGCTGCTGACATTTCATGCTCAAATCTCCGGAGCTGTGTGAAGAAGGGAGTGGCCAGGTGCAGCGCCTGGACAGCCTGGTCTCGTGCTTTACTCGGGACCCATGGAGTCACTCCTGCACTTTCAGCTGTTCTGACTGGGTCTGACTCCAGCTCGGCTTTAGAAAAGGTTCATACCTAAGCATTGCGTCTCCTCAATTTCCCGTTTGGGGGAGATGGAGGAGAGCTTTATTTTAACCTGCCTAACAGCATCAACAGCCTCTTCATTGTCCCGGTGAAAGGGACACTTTATAAATTTCAAATAATTGATTAGCCGGGAAGCTATGCTAAGGTGATCAACCTGAAGTGATGGGTATGAGTGTATTCTGGAGCCTATGAGTGGTAAACAGCACTGGAAACTGAATGCTGACCATCAGATTTCCGTCCCTTAATTAAGGTTTGATTTAAAGTGATGTTTACAATCTTAGTTTCAAGAAGCTTCAGAGAAACTTCTGGGCATGTTATAGTTAACTCGCCAAAAATAGTGAAAAATAGTGAAATGAGGTTATGCCATGGAAATCCAGTGTAGGGCTGCACATGCCATCACCCATGTTCGTGGCTCCTTCCGCCTGTGGCTGGTTGGAAACATTTCCCGCAGGAACGCTGTAGAAAGCCGTCCTGCATCTATTCCGTAGGCCTCCTTGGGTGGGGTTTCCTAATATGTTTAGCTTCCTTGGTTGCCCTACTTGCTCTGACTAAAATCCTACATGCTATTGGATAGTGTCTGTTACATTTCCAGGGTGGTAGCTGGGTGAGGGAGTGGGTTATGGCCAGCGTTGAGGGCAAGGGCAGTTAGGCATGGAGTTGGTTCTCTAACAGTGTGACCACGTATACACAGTTGTAAAACAACAGTGCTGTTGCATTTTTAATGTCAGGGCATATTGTTTTATAAAGAAACGGACTGACTTTGCATTGGAATTATTCAGAAGTAGTGTGTGTAAGAGTTTATTGCAGAAAAGTAGAAACAAAAATAATTGACATTTTTAAAGTATCTCATTTATCTTTAGTCTTATTACAGAAACCTGCTTTGTTACCTCACCACGATATTCCTGGAAATATCAAATCTTTAAACATGCTTTTTAAAAAGACATAAACCTCACACAGCTATGTTTTTCTCTTTTCTTTAAGAGAATCTGTTGTTTTAGGGAGCACGGACTTCCTAGAAGATGAGGTAGAAAAAATTGTAGAAGAACTGGGAAAGGAATACAAAGGCAATGCCTATCACTTAATGCACAAAAACTGCAATCACTTTTCTTCAGCTTTATCGGAGGTAAGTTAAATTTTATCCTAGAAGTTCTTCAAGTGATAACATTTCCTAGTACACTCACTGTCCCACTGTTGTAACTGATTCGTCCTTCCTGGTTCTTCGTGTTGTATAAAGTAGGCATTGCATCTCTCTCTCCTGTCTGCATGACCTTTCTAACATGGTGACTTAGAGTCACACAGCTTGGAATTGTGACTCTATTTGCTGTGGGTACAGAGCGAGTACAGTGGTTGTCTCTTATTCTAATTCATGTTATTTCAGCCTGTAACTCCGCTGTAAAGAAGTGAATGCCTAAGCGACTGCTGCTTTCCAGCCACTCGTATTTCTCTTGCCCTAAGTTTTAGTTGCCAACTTGAATTTTCTTCCCCGGCTCCTACTTATTCATAAGTCATTCATTTTTCCTGTCTTGGAATATTACTCTGCCAGCTTATCACGCAGGCACTTATAGTCCTTCCTAATTCTTGAATCCCAGGCAGACCAAAACTAGATCAGAATTACAGGACCTTGAAAAAGAAAATAGAAGGAAGAAAACGAAGGATGCTCAGATAAGGTCTAGAGAATTAAATAGTGCTTGAGACAGCTTCCCAACTCGCTGGCCTGGGGCAGCCGGGTACGGAGGTGGAGGAAAGTGTTCCGGAGGCTGTGAGCTGCAAGGAGGCCTCCCTGACCCCTGCAGGCATGCGTGGCTCTGGCTCTGCCCACCTCCCTCCCGGCTCCCATGGCATAGCGGCCAGCAGGACTGTAGCGGACTGTTGCGGGGCTTCTCCAAGTATGTTTCACGGAAGTCGCGCCCCACATAGGAGTCTGTGAGAGGGGCATCGTCTCTGCCCCACTACACATGGGCCGAGTCAGATCTTCACTGCAACACGGTCCCCAGGTGCTTCCTGTGAACATAGAAGTTGGAGAAGCATCGCCAGTCCTGTGGACGCATCGATGCCACAGGGGTGACCTGGGCGATCTTCAGGGCAGGAGGAAGGTAGCTCAGGGCTTTCTTGAGACTCGCATGACATTGTAAGGATGCAAACACGGGTGCTGACAGCTCACGGGCTGTGTCTTAGGCCAGTCCAGTTACCGCACCGGGGTCGGGATGCAGGCAGCTTCAGGAAGCACATGGTTACACCAGGGGGCAGTGGTCCTGGTGTGTGTCACACGGACCTGTGCTCACAGTCCCACTCCTGGGGCCGACCTTCAGCCATGCAGCTAAGCCCGTAGCGTGTCTCGGTGTGAAAGGTCATACCTGTCTGATTTTAGAGTGGACAGATGGCAGTGGTATCACAGAGGCCAGTAACCATCAGGCACACGGCTGAACCTTAGGGAGGAAGGTAATGACAGGTGTCAGCCTGTGTCCACACCTGCTAATTCGGGGACATAAACTACTTGAAACCGCTTTCCCCAGTCATCGGCTCAGAAGAGGTGGGACGGCCCTCTAGCTCCATGGCCATCATCTGGGACATGACTGGAGGCAGAAATGCTGAGGGGCCTTGGAACACGGCCTCAGTCAAGCCCGGTGTTGTCTGCAGGAGGAAGGGAACAGTAAAGAGCGAAGTTCGTTTTATGAAAGACCCACTTCTCACCGTGTGAAACAGGAAAGGGGTCCGGGAGGGAGCCTCCGGCCCTCGTCTGTCTGTCGTCCCTGGTGGCCTTCAGCCCCAGGGCCAGGCTTCCTCGGGGAGATGCTGCTTTCTGGGCCAGCGTGAGCTCCTGGGAAACGGGGCCAGTGAGAGCCAGGAGAAATGGGCGCTAGAGACGGAGGGCGGGGAGAATTCACAGAGAGGAACATACCCAAGACTGACAGTCCTCCCCCCGCCTGGGGCGTCTCTGCCTCCAATAACCCCTGTGGTGGTCAGTCCTCCCACGTGTCTCAAAGCAGTTGCAAGGACCTAAGAAAGGAAGGAGCCGGGTGGAATGGCTCGTTTTACAGACATGAAAAGCAAGCAGCTTGACGGCTCCTCAGGAAGGAAGGAAGGAAGGAGCTGACAGTAGGGACCAGGCCCCCAGCTAGGGAGCTGCTTGTCATCAGAGGCTGCCATCCCCGCACAAAGGAAGGGCTGGTGTGCAGTGGCTGTCTGACCTCCCTCCACCCTCCACGGCAGGTAACCTCTCACCTAATACACCTCTTCCTCCTCCAGATTCTTTGTGGGAAAGAGATTCCTCGCTGGATCAACCGCCTTGCCTACTTCAGCTCCTGTATCCCCTTTCTACAGAGCTGCCTCCCGAAGGAGTGGCTCACGCCCGCAGCCCTGCAGTCCAGTGTGAGCCAGGAGCTCCAGGGCGAACTGGAGGAGGCCGAGGATGCTGTCGCCTCGGCCGCCGCCGCTGCCGGCTCCCGGCCCGGGCGCCACACTAAACTCTAAGTGTCTCCAAAGCCACCCCCGCAGCACTGTCTCCGGCAGTTGAGTGTCACTAGCGAGAAGGGAGGAAGAAGCGTCCGGTGACGCGTATGCAAAGCTGGCTCTCCCATCCGGTCTCACAGCTCAGGATTCCATTTGTATAACCAGCCACGCGGCGCAGGAGGGAGAACTGCGTGAGCGCCCTCTGGTTTTTTACCCACTTGTAAATGCAGATTTTCTTCTTCTGTTTTCTACGACTCTGTTAAGTTATGTTTACAGTATTTTGTATCGCTGTTTACAGATCTTGCATGGACTCCTGCCACCGTAAAAGGAAAATCTCCATGTCTTCACTATCGGGCAGGCGATCTTTGTACACTTCCGACAATTGCCAGGGCTCTGGCGTCAATCATAGGCACACACAGAGACCAGCGGTCGTGGGCATCACCTGCTTGAGAACTTGTCTGTCGGGTTTGTGTTCGTTTCTGTTGAGGTTTTGGCACAGGAGGCAGAGAGCGAAGGAGCACACACAGCCGCGAGGGCTGGGGGCCTGGTCTGCTGAGAGGTAGCCCCTCCGCCTCCTCTCGGCACCTACTCCCTCCCTCCCTCCCTCCGGGCAGCACATCTCCCCTGGTTCCTCCCCAACACCCTCCCCCGGCGGGAGGCGCACGCCTCGCCTCTGTCCAGCTGGCTTTGCTGCCTCTGACTCTGGAACTAAGATGTTTTTCGTTAAAGTAACTGACAAGTGGTTTTGCACACGTGTTGGGAGCTTCATTTTTCTTTAACACGCTGACGGCCTCCCTGCACAGGAGTTTGTGGGTGAGTAGGGACATCCTAAACGGTAGCCTTCCGAGCAGCAGGACGAGTTGACGTTCAACTGCGTGTAGCTATCCAGGCTGCCTTTATATAGACCTTGAAAACAGGTTAAAGCAACACACTCCAAAAAGCTGATCGTTGGATGTTTCAGGCGTTTTAGTACATCAGGGAGAGTAAGTTGTTAGTTTGTTATGGGAGTAGTTTCACCTCATCATGGAAAGCCTCATCTCATTGACCTCTCGTTTGAAGTCCCACTTGTGTATCTTTAAGTTCCTTTTTTTCTGTTCTCTCAAATGTATGTCTCTTACGTCACACTCTCTAAGGATGGAACTGTCACACAGATAAGTCCTCATTAGCAAGGAATCTGTCAGCTCGAGTCTACTCCCAGTTTGGCCCCTGGATGTAAGAGCCAAGTCATTACATGTCACATTCAATTTTTCTGCCTTAAGAATGAATGTCCTACGTAAGACTGGATGCCGTATATACCGTACCCAAGGCAGTGACTTCCACTTTCTACACGTTGTTAGTTTAAAGTCATCTCTTATTTCAGTGTCTAGACTGGATTGTTAGTGCTACTACTCTTTGTAAAGATACATATCTTTCAGTAAACTACATTTTTAACTTTTCCATAAGCTGATTTTGATTTATTTTATCAACTTAAGCACACCCCGTTCAGAGGGAAAATAAACCTCCAGTTCTAAGCATCGACCTGAGGAAAAGGAAGCCACGTAACCTCCTTACGCTTTTGGCTTCTGCTTCTGGGAGGAAAGCTGTCAGTTACTCCCACTCTTGGGCACAGAGCACTTGATAGAAGAGCTGCGGCAGGAGGAATGTTGGAGCTTCATGGAAAGGCGACTTGGTTCAGGTCTAACATGAGGTTAGAATAAAACACTAAGAGTCAAGCAGTGGATTTGTTCATTCAAATAAGTCCTGTCCTCACACCCAGGTAGGGGAAGCGTGCGGGGCATTTCCTTGGGCTTGTCTAACTGGTAGCTCGCAGTTCTTTCTAACTCATTCAGACCCACAGGGCTCACTCCGGGCCAGCGGCACGTGGAGTGGCCAGCACCGGGCCCTTCCCATCTGCTCGCCCAGAGCCCAGCACACAAGCGACTATTATTTTGTTGTATTTACTTTAATCTGCAGCCGTTGGAGTTTAAAAACAGTAAAGGGTCCTAGCTCCAGAAGTACAGGTGGCTCAAGGCTGGTCACAGTAACAATCAGGTGGAATTCTGGGCGGGAGGTGATCACGATCTAATTGGACTCGAGGTTGAGAAGTCAAGGTGTTTACTTCCGGGAATCCATGGGAGCCGGCTCCTCCTCCACAGCTCAGAGTGCGCGTGGGTCACCCGCCTTTCCTGGCCCCGGAGGGAGGAATCGTGCTCCCCACCTGACCCGGTTAGACATCTGGCCATGGAGATACTGAGAGGATGGAGGCCGAGTGAGCCTGTCTCAGGTCCGCGGGACAGTAACAGCGTTGGAGGGTCAGAGGCTGCTGGGTTCTGCCTTTCCCACGCCTGTGCGTGTTTTCTCGACCTTAAGGGGCCTGAGCGTCGGGGGTGTGGCCTGTGGAGTCCAGGGGGTGGTGGTGCCTGAGATCCAGCCCACTCGCTCCGCCCACAGCAATAGCGTTACCTTCACCAGCACTGGCACCGAGCAGGGTCCTGGGTCCACGCGCGGGTAGCAACACTCCCGCTTCCGGTTCTGTTCTGTCTGACGGCTCGGCGGTGGGTTCGGCTCTGTTCCCTGCAGTGGGTTCAGCGGGGAGGCCGGGGCTTGTGCCGCAGCGGCCCCTCTGCCGGCCCCTCCCCTGCGTGGAGCTCAGTTAGCGGACGGTCAGCCGGGTCCAGAGGCGTCTCCGGGGGCGGAAAGCTGTCCAGCTGTTGCTCTCATGACCCTGAAGATGGTTTCTTGTGACGTTGAATGCAAATGTACTGTCATTCATAGTGTTTATATACAAACACCAGGAATCTTCACTTTTGCTACCTTGATACAGCATTGGGCTATCATGTTAACAACATTGAAATACATCAATTTATTAAAAAATACTTTTGTAAGAAGTGTTTGGCGTGCTTTCTGACCTCCAGGCAGGGGCAGCTGTTAGGTATTGGGGTTGGGGTGGGAGGCTGCTTTTCAAACCCAAGACGCCCACCTGCTCCAAAGACTGGGCCGGTCACAGCCTCCCTCTGAGCGCAGCCCACACCCTCA